ATCTATCGCGTTTTTGCGATATAGAAGCAAATGTTGGTAGCTCAGGTTGTTTAGTTGATTGGCTGATTGTTCGCTGAGCTCGGCAGGTTGACTGCAAACGTTTCGTCACCACTCGAGGTGACATCGTCAGTGCGAGTGTATTTAGCAGTATGGCGCGTACGAGGCGTCGGTGAGTGTGAGTGATCGATCTCCTAGCCGCTACTCTGAGTTTGGATTGTTCGACGAGCACATGACCATAGAAATCGATCTCTGATTCTCACCTCGTAGTGTACGCGCGTGGGACTCTTCGCTTGTCGTCATTTGATGCAGTAGTCTAGCGCTCTTTTCCGTTAGATTTCTTCTAGTAATTCGGTGATCTTTCATTCGTAATGCCGTATATATAGCATCTATTTCAACATGTCGGTTTATTGAACTGTCGGTAGAATACCATGCCTCCAAGAATTCTCTAGCTTGCTTCGAATTTCCACGGGCTAGGATCTTAACGTTCTCTAGATCGAAGTGGTGGCCTTCTTGGTCTTCATGCATGGAAACTAATGAATGCGGGTCGTGTCTCCGTATGGCCATTCTGTGTTCGTTGATCCGTGTTGATAGTTTCCTTCCGGTTTGTCCGATGTGGTGTTTGTCACACTCTTTGCAGTTAATTTTGTAGATGACATCATTCTGACTGCCTTGTTTAACTTTGTCCTTCGGTCTTGAAAGCAATCTTCGCAGAGTACCTGTTGGTTTGTGGGCTAGCAAGATTCCATGTGGTCGTAGCAACCTTGACGTCAGTTCAGATACATTCTTGATGTAAGGAAGCGCCACTCGTTTATCAATGTTTTCCTGCTGTTGTTGCCGCACCCTCTTCTTTTCCTGCACCCTGTATAAATCGTTGATTGTGTGCGTGGCAGCTCAGTATTCACCGTCAGGGTGCACAAAGTAAGTTTTAGCTTGATTTGTCTAAAAAGGTGTCGTGTAGGCCTCCAGGAAGTAAGAAGACTGGGCCGCGATCACGAAGTGATTTATTAAGATAAGGCTCAAATATTTATAGAGTATGTACACTATTTACAACAGTCCGTCTCAATGGCTCATCTCGGTTATTTGCATTGTGTCGCTGACTCCTTTTCCATTGGTTTATGGTTGCTTGCCACGTTCACTCTGACTAAAATCACCTTGACTTTCTTAGTGAATCTACGATTGGCAGGATTGGGCCCGCGCGCTTCTTCTCTCGGTCCAATGTCACAAGCCTTGGCTCAAGTGTGCATGAGTATGCACACCTTCGCTTGCTGGCGCTTGATTGGTCACTTACACGTTCAGTGGATAGTTGCAGGGTGGACGTGCCAACTATTTCCTGATTGGCTGACCAATCTGCTTCCGGCAACATGCTCACTCGGTCTGGCCTGTGACGTTCCATCGGAATTGCAGAATTTTCAGCCCACATCACAAAAGGTTTGAGAAGAAAAGTGATGTGGGACATTCTTCACGAGAATGAGCAGCTAGAGAGCCTGATATGCCTAAATACCTGTCGCGGCTGCTGATTTCGTTGTTTTCCTCTCCCTTTTCCACAGCAGCTGACAGCCATAGAATCAGAAAACAATGATAACGTAATTAAATCGTCTTTAAGACTATTGGTTCCATTCACGTTGGATCATTCAATGTTCGTAGATTATCTCAGATTGAGTAACAAGAGGTTACTACCCTTATCATTTGTCTTTTGAGTCGGCGTAACGTTCAAAATAGTACTGAAGAAAGTAATATTTGAATGGATGCTCGACTACCTGATTCACATTCCGGTGCTGACAAGTGTTCGTCGTACCTCTGGTAATACTGAGTTAACTACCCAGGGTAGCCATATGCCGGTGCAGCATTTATCAGAAAGGTAAAAGACAATACAGTAAAAGGCAATCTAAGGAATAGCTTTTGGCTGCAGCTCAGTTTCGAAGCCCAAATAGAACAGAGCACTTTCATCGTCATCTTCATTCTCCTCAACATCATTCTTCTCTTCTTCCTCTCGAGTGGCAGTGCACCAGTAGCTCGTACTCTCTGTGATGCGTCAGAAGTGCCCGTGTGCATGCGCTTATGGAGGTTCCTTAGGGAACGCGAAAGTCAGGTCCAATTTTGGTTAGATGGGAGCTGTAATGATCACAATCAAGCGATTAGTCAAACAATCGAGCAGTCGAAAGGGCAGAAGGCGAAATCATTGCTTTTGTAAACACAAGTGAGAGTTAAGTGCCTTTCCAGCTCAGGCTATCTCTACTTGATGAGCTCAAGCGAGGACGATAACGGTCGTGGGGTGCTGGTGTTGGGAGCAGTACCGAGATCACCCCGATTCGGATACGGTCATGGTGACGGAATGACCGACTTCTGAAATGAGATTGCCTGTCGCAATCCAGCCACACAGCGGGCCGTCCAGACTCAACTTTGATACATGTCATTAAATGACAAAATGGTCGCGTTTGACTAGGTCAACAGAGCTGCTATTTCGATCTACCAACTGAGGAGAGTGGTGTATTGAAAGCAGTTTAACTTGCACCGAACATTTTTCACAAAGGGCTATGTTAACATGCAGAGATCTCTCACACTACTTCGGTATCACCAGCTACGAGATGCACGGTTTCCCAACCAAAATCGCGTTCGGCTTTACTGTGCGCAAAATCCCGAAGCGCCCTTGAAAACTGTGGGTCGAGTGATATCAGGCTGGTTCCGAGTGACCAACGTCATGAACTAGAGTATGATAACACCACCGCTGTAGTTTAGGATTCCTTGCAGACCACCTAAAGCGTTACATAGGTTGAAGAAGTTCGATCCTACGAGGTGTCGGAATATCCAGCAAGATAAAACTATGCTCCTAACCTCTACTTCGAGCGGTCGATATATTCGTCTGATAATGATGGTTCGATTAATAAGGTCTCTAAGCAGCCATGGTGTATTTGTTCTGATAATTGACAACTTAGAGGCTAGTGTGATTTGAACCCCGGGTTGGAAGGCCAAACCTGTTCATTAACATCATCACACGCTATCTAGAGATTGGAAACACCTCAAGTTAATGTGCCACAATACAATGAAAATAAATTATTCGTCTTTGAGTCAAGATGCAACAAAGGTGAAGAAGATCCTTGACAATTTTCATTTATGAGTTCAACAATGAGAGAAGCATTAATGTTGAAATTCCGGTGAAAAAATTAAAGAGTTGATTGTGCATTGCATTTTGGACGTACAATTTCTGCATAACTGGATCTATTACAGACAAACCGCTGAAATCCCAATGGGTTCTCTCCCATGCCTCCTTTTCGCCGACATCTTCCTTTCAAAGCTCGAACGTGAACAGCGAAGAACCCTTATTTCTTCCGTCGAATTATACTACATGGACGACATATACATTGTCTGTGACTCTTCCATCGATTGTCTTAGCTTATTAGACCAGTTTAGCTAAGTGCATCCATTATTGAAATTCACCAGTGAAGTTGAGCAAGATGGATGCCTGGCTTTACTAGAGGCGCTATTGCATCGGCGTGAAAACGAGACGATCGAAAGGAGTGTTTATCGCAAAGCGACATGGGTAGATTAATATACCCACTTTCTTAACTTTGTACTGCTGAGATACGAGAGGAATTCAGTTCGTTATTTGTGTTATCGTGCTAGCGCAATCTGCAGCCGCGAGTCTGGCAAGCGAAACTAAGCTCATCATTAACACGCTGCAAGAAAATGGGTATACCGTACCTTTCATCAAAAGGCATTACAAACAGCCCGAATATGTCAAGTTTGTCGCTACAGAGCCAAAAGGGATGCATTACTCACAGTTCTTTTTAAAAGTGGCGTTGCTTTCGAGCTATTGCATAGAAAAGTTTCGACATCAGTAGCCCAGGCATTTCCAGCCGCTAATCTAAATCAACTTACTAAAAGAAAACCCGGTTCGAATCGTTTGTCTTATAACAATTCACCTGCACCTGTGGTGCTAAGCATTTTGGACATACGACCACAAAAGAAGCGGTGAATATTGTCCTGCGTCACTGTGAAAAGGCATGGTAAAATCCACCAACAGTTCTATTTTACAACACATGGTTGACACTGGACATCAAGTCCAGATGAATGTGTCGTAGTAAGTCATTAATACTACCCTTGAACGCTAACCAAAACCGCTCAAGAAACATCTGTTGACCATTTCTGAAGCCATTATAATCACGTTGCTAAAATCAGAGCTGTGCAATAAAGGCACATTGTTATAGGCTCTGGAATTACCATGGCCATGAACTTTCTTCGTTTTATCTCACCCTTCAAGATTAACATGTGACCAGGCTTGAGCACGTGTGCTTCCTCATGCGACAGCCTGATTGATCAAATTAGTGCTATATTTTGCATACTGCCCGATTCATAATAACCTTTCATCCAAGCTAGACAAGCTTCTACGAGTTTATTCCCCACAAAAGTTTGTATTTTAATTGTATGCACCCGATGAGAAGTATAGAAAATATATCCTTCGCATTTGTTGACTTCTTACAATACAAAGAATAAATAAACTGTTTATCCTCAGGGTGTGCCGGCATAGGCATGATCATGACGGTGCAATCACAACGATCATAAGCTGATCGGAAAAACAGGAAACCATTCGGGCGCGGTCTGTTGGGATAAAAGGGGTGGCACAAGGAAATGAAATAGAATGTTTTATTCTTATGAAAAGGGACACGTGTCGGTGTAGCATGGTTAGGTGTCTTGAAAAATAGCATGTCCTTTACAAGCCGATAAAGAGGGATCTAACAGATATTCGTAAACTAACTGCGGTGAGGAATATCACGTTTTGAGATGATTGCACTGATTGGAAAATTTCAATAAAAGTTGTGTCGCGTTCGTGTCGTGAGAATGTTCTACGGAATAGGTGTGATGCGTAGACAGTGTTGATAAACACTGCATCTGAAACCATTTTCTCGAAAATTTGATTGTGGACTACACAAAGGGGTCAAGTACAAGCACAAAAACAAATGTATTGAAAGTACAGACAACAGTTGCAGTGTGAGCCAAATGCAAGTTGGAGGACTTTCACGATGGACTGCATGTCTTTGCACCAGCCGGTTTATTCGAATGAACAGATTCGAGGTGCTTTCGCATATTACCTTTCAGAGCGAACGATTTGCTGCACTGTGTGCATGCATAGGGTCGTAGCTTCAAGTGAACAGACTTTTCGTGGATTCGTAGTTTGCTCATAAGAGGAAAGGTTTTCTCACAGTGCTTGCATTTGTGAGGTCGCTCTTTCAAATGAACGAACTTGAAGTGTCTTCGCATACAGTCCTTCACAACGAACGATTTACCGCAAAGTTCACAAGTATAAGGCCGTTGCTTCAAGTGCACTGAATTTACGTGAGTCTGGAGATGAAATTTTCGAGTAAAACGTTTCTCACAGTACACGCAGTTGTGGGATCGTTGGTTCAAATGGACGGAATCCACGTGAGACTGGAGGTTAGATTGTTGGGAAAAGGATTTCTCACAATACTCACGCAAGTGAGGGTGTCGATTCCTATGAACTGAACGAAGATGTATTCGAAGAATATCAGCCCTCGAAAACGATTTACCACAGTAGTTGCACACATGTGCTCGTTGATCTCTCTCTGAAACGGAAGGTGCTGTCACTACCCTAATCACCCATCTGCGACTTTCGTCCGAAGGGCTCACAAGAGCGCCTTGTACAGTTTTCAATGACCGATCGGAAATATAATGGGCCTTGAAATCCAATTGGTCATTCTTCTGATGATCCGGGAAGGCACCAATCGCTGTCCCACTTGAAGATACCGCTGACGGATGTGAATCTGTGGGCTCGGGCTTCGGTCTCAGAATACAGAAACTCGAATGTTGCCACATCCATGAACTCTGCAGATCGTCATCGTGAATTTCGTGGTTCGATGGCGCAATTACTTCGAAATCCTGTTTAAGCATGATTCTATTCATGATCAAATCAGGGGAGTTTTGCAAACACAGAGGGTTGGGACGCGGTTTAGCAAAAAGTGTTCAAGCTCAGGTTGGACAGAAGCGATAAGACAATCCTGTGAAAATTCCTTTTTGAATGGAGCTTTCAAGCAGGAATGGGTAAGGTGCTCCAAAGATTTGGTGAATCATTCACTGGTATACAGGGCAGAGAAAGAAGACAAGAGCAAAAGCTAAAACGAAATAACATAATGCAATAGTAGTGAGTGTGCCAGCAGGACGTATAAGATGAAGGTTAGACAAAGAAACACAACCGCTACCGAGGTCGGCTCCTGACCATGTCAAAAGTAACCAACGAAAAGTCTTGATCGCGCTCAAGAACCCCAAGCAAGCGGTCGGGAAGCTCAAATCGAGGTCAGCTTATTAGTGAGGGACTTCATTACCGCCTATGTCATCGGTTCATCTCCACTATGATTCCTTCAACCGGATCCTCGGGGTGAGAAAGACGCATGCGTAACATATGTACCGGTCATCGGAGCCCGGCGCGTGAAATAATGGTGGTGAGCAGTTCACCAGCTCATCATGCACCAAATGAACGACGCCGAAAAAGCGCACTGCTCATGTGATGTTCTCACCAGATATGAGCAAAACTCCTAAGGTAGCGATGCGCGAACGTTGCTGACCTCTGTATGTCTGCAGATCCAATGGCCCAGTTGTCGCAACCGTACAGGAGCGTTGAACAGGATGCACTGTAAACTCTGCTCTTCAGGACTAGGGTGAAGTCACGCCGACGCCAACGGTGACAGAGATTGGTAAAAGCGTCTCGAGTTTTTGCTATACGGTTCGTGACCTCATCCTCTATTCCACTGGCGCTGAAATAGCTGCCATGATGCTTGAATATATGGATGACTTTTAATTGACTAACAAAAAGGCTTAGTGCATGGGTGGGTCCCCCTCAATTTTGGAGAACAACTTTGCACTTTGAGAGTGGAAAGAATAGACCGAAACGATTGATAGTCAATGATAATGTCAGCGCAACATTTCACGTTTGTAATTTGTCACAGATAACGGCATTGTGGTCGCCGTAATCCAAGTCAAGAACTCGATCACTTGGAGCAGCTCCACGCCAAGTAGGTCGCGTCCAATGAACGCTGCTTCCATCATCCTTATAGCATTATACACGTTAGGTAGAGGTAGAAAACACACCAGCTATTGTGCCGCAAAACATTAGAAAACAAAGACATATTGCAGGCACACCAGCCGAGCCACGACTAATGGATGGGCATTGTTCCGGAGGGATAACAGCCGGCTGTGCCGTAAAAAAGTTGTATTAAGTGTCCGAAAAGAGATCCTGGTTGGAGAGGAAGCTGAGCGCGACGCGGAGAGACAAAAAAAACTCACAGCACAAACGCCATTGAAGTTGGCTCTTAGCCATGTCAACTAGTGTATCCAGCCACACGTGTTCATCGTATTTCGGGTCCCACCAAGGGAGCCGAGAGGCCCCAACCGGGACCAACTTGGAACTAAGGGCCTTCATTCCTCTTGAACAAGTCATAATTGGCCTCTACTCCTCTTCTTTCGTCCATACCCTACGGCGCGCATACAACGCACGCCTCCGGCGTCTGGGTGCTGGCATGCGCAGCAAGTGGACCAGCCATCGGAGCCTGGTTCGTGAAATAACGGTGCTGAGCGATTCACTTCCGTTTTATGTGCCATAGACAAGGCGTCAAACACGCTCAACGCCATGACTTCATCAATGTCGAAGATGAAGAGAAAAGGTTACAATGGGCAACCTTGCTCACAGCGCTGAAGATATTGAAGGGCGGCGACAGCTTGCCATTTCCACACACTCTGTTGGCTGGTGACCGAGTGGTCTGCACGCCTGACTTTCAACCATAAGGTCACCGGTTCGAATCCGCCAAAATGCACCTACATATCAGCATACAAATGTATGATCAATGTTCATACACGTGTTGCATACCGAGCGACAAGTTTGGACGCAGTTTCTCCAGCGGTAACCAATCGCAATGTGATCGATTTGCGTCCAAGTCTGGTGGGCGCCATGTCACTGTCCGACGGGTGCTGTGTAGGAAATTAGTGCTCGCAAGAAATAAGCGAGTATCGTCACAAAAAGGAAGCAACAGCTCACCGTTATCATTACGAGAGTCTATACAACGTTGGTCGCCCAGATGCAGCCCATCAGTAGACAATCTTTCAATTTGAGAGTTCAGATCCCCAGCCAGCATTACGGTGTCTGCGCTTCCTCTCTAACGAAGGAGCTCGTTCAGTTGGCGACAGAAGTCGACTTTTACCGAGTCACTGCTACAGTTGTGGGCGCATATGCAGCGATGACAAGCAGGCACCTGCTAACCCCACGCGACTTCAAGGAATTGAACGGGCAAGCCACTCGGAACGCATAGATCCGGCTACTGATTGGAATCCAATCAACCAGAGCAGCTTCAGCCCGGGGACTTAAAGCAATACCAATACCAGCTTGGCCGGCACTCGAGGCTGCATCGTCTCTGGATAGATGCAATGAGAAAGCACCGCCAGTGTCACTTGGTGATCGCAAAGCGAGTATATACCTCCAGTTTTGCAGACAAAATTCAGATAAGCAATAGATAACGATCAAGAGGGTCTATAATGTTCGAGAAAGTGTTGACTGTTGACCGAACTGTAACAATGCGCGTACGGTGAGGCAAATCAATCTGAAGAGGGGGATCAAGGGCTCCAAACAGAAGCCGATGGGCTGGGCTAGACCGCTTGGTTGGACTTCGGCTGGTCGACAGTGCAGGAGTGACGCTGCGCGTTTGCATGTGAGTTGAAACGAAGATCAGCACCTATAAAAGCAGTGTGGGGAAGCCAAGAATTGGTGGTTAAAAAAGGGGAATAAATGTGAAGTTGGAGCGGGACGAATAGGAAGAATGGTGACAGGGGGAATAAGAAGACGAGGTCTGAGCAGTAGAACCCAACATACTCGATGCGGCAGAGAGCGTGCCGCCAATTATCCTCTGTGACAACCAGAGCATAATAAAATGGTCTGAAAGTGAAGTCATTGTGTCCGGGAGAAAGTATAAATTGCCTAGTAAATCCACTATTTTAGAGATTATTTGATTATTAACGATTATCGCGTCGATTTCGAAGGTTCTGGAATATTCTAACTTCTGCACGTGATTAAAAACCACCGGACACCTCAGCGAAAGCTATGGGGAAGCACTAATCTTGGTAGCTGACCTTCCAATTCTAGAAGTCGAAGGTCAGTAAGAGACATATAAATAGAGCCAAGGTCCGAGGTATTTGTACAGTGTTTGGTGACGACGATTAATACGTTATTTTGTAAAGGTCATTGGCGCTCTGCTTTTTCCTTTGGTTGGGCTAGAAAATTTGTGGAGTAGTTAAGTGTCAATTTCGGAATCGCGTCTAGTGAGAGGATTACAAGAAATGGCGACGGTGATGGGACTGACGCAGTAATTTCACACACTACACCGATGAATCTCAGAAAGCAATCGCCCACGCCGCCACAACACTTACGAAGGCCGAGAGGAATCACATCCAGCTTGAAAAAGAAGCATTGGCCATAAGGTACGCGGTCAAGAAATTCCATAGAATGCTATACGGATGCCGCTTCAAGCTTCTGACAGATCACAATCCCTTGCTGGCTAACTTTGGTTCAAAAAAAAGGTCATCCTGGCCTACAGAGCCAACTGGCTACAACGTTGGGCTCTTACCTTAATGGGGTTTGATTTCAAGATCCATTGCCAGTCGACAATTTCCGTTGGCCAAGCGGATGTACTGTCACGCCTAACTGATGCCCATCAGTAAGAACATGAGGACACAATCATTGCCTCGGTCGAGATCAAACCTGACGTCATGCATTGCACGGTCTACCAGTTAGCGCAGAAACTGTACGAACCGAAACGTTTCGGGACCCAGTACTCAAGAAAGTTACACAGTTCCACAAAACAAGTTGGCCACGTTCATGTCCAGCTGTCGAGTTGCAACAGTACTTCCAGAGGAGACATTCGCTCTCTATTGTAAACGACGGCATACTATTTTCGGAGACAAGGTCAAGCCCAAGGCACATCATGAGCGCCTTATTCGGCAGTTCCAAGCCGGACATCCTGGAATCAACCCGATGAAGGCGCTTGCCCGCAGTTATGTATACTGGCTTTTCATGGACAAACAGCTAGAAGAAATAGCTAAACGCTGCCAAAAGTGCGCCAATGTCTTGAAAGCGCCTCAGAAATCAGAACTCTATTCATGGCCAAAAGTTGCAAAACCATGGTGCCGAATCCATGTCAACTTTGCAGGACCGATCAACGGCAGTTTCCTCATTATAGTCGACTCATACAGGAAGTGGTCTGAAGTATTTTTCATGGACAGCACAATCACTAATGCCGATGTATCAAAACTGCGCCACACCTTTAGCAGATTCGGCTGTCCTGAGATAATTGTAACTGACAGTGGCACACACACAGTGACAACTTTTACGGAGTTCTGCAAGAAATGCGCCGGCCAGCACATTCGCTCGCCGCCGTTCTACCCACAGCCGAATGGTCAGGCAGAAATGCTTGTCGATACGTTTAAGCGAGCTCACCACAAATCAGAAGGGGAGGGGCGTATAAAGGTTCCTTTTTCCGGTTCCTTTTTCTCTACCGATCAACATCGAATCCACAAGCGCCGGACGGTTTTTCTTCAGCACAGGCTATGATTAACCGGAAGATCCGTATGCCTTTCAACGCCATTCGACCGCGCTCGGAATCCTCTGCTGGTGAAATAAACCACAGAATGGAACAGGATTTTAACCGGCGGCATGGAGAAAAGAAACAATCGTTTACGCTTGGACAGAAAGTGTTAATACGTGACTATCGGGAAGGCCATGCGAAATGGACGCCATAGAGGGTCAAAAGCAAACGCGGAAACGTCACGTATGACGTGATCGTGGGCGCACAGATCTGGGCACGGCATGCAAACCAGTTACGGCCAACATTGTACCAACCAGAATACGCAAGGCCTACCGACCTCCTGTTGGACTTATTGGTAGAAAACTTCAACTTGCCGAAGGTAGCAGTGGACGACTGCACACAATTGAGCAAAGAATCCAGAACGCGGACACCGGAACACAGTTCTTGGGCACTTCTGCCAATGAGATGGACCGATAGACAGAGAACACCGTCCCGAAAACTGCAAGTTAGTCTTAGGCTTTCATCGCATACCTCGGACGATATCTCAGG